TGCCTCTCTCTTTATGTGTCTCTCATGAATAAATAAATTAAATCTTAAAAAAAAAAGAAAGAAATACTAAGTAGAATCAGTCATGAGCCAAGTACAGAGAAGAGAAAAATCCAAGGTTGAGGACTTGGAACGTAAGGGAAGGATTCCTCTGAGTTCTTGGTCATAACTTCTGAGGACTGGTGGGATCTAATGTATCCCCTTCCTCTGATCCCCCTTCCTCTGATTCCACTTCCAACTGGAACTTTATTTTTTTTTATTTTTTTTTAAAGATTTTATTTTTTTTATTTTTATTTTATGATAGTCACAGAGAGAGAGAGGCAGAGACACAGGCAGAGGGAGAAGCAGGCTCCATGCACTGGGAGCCCGATATGGGATTCGATCCCGGGTCTCCAGGATCGCGCCCTGGGCCAAAGGCAGGCGCCAAACCGCTGCGCCACCCAGGGATCCCCCCAACTGGAACTTTAAATACCAGTTTCAAACTGGACTTGAAATTTGAAGGAAGATCTTACAGAAAGAGGTCAAGATCCATAAGCCCATGCTCACTTTGTAGCAAGGAGCCTGAGACAAGAGTCAAGCGCAGATTTCTTGTCAAATCTGGAAGCTGGTCACATTCTCTGTCTACACTACCGTCACCTGAGTCCCAGACACCATCCCCTCTGGCTTGGACTATCCCAGCAATGCCTAACCCATCTCCCATTTCCAGATTCCATTTCTACCCTAAATCCAGGTGCCATGAGGGGATCTTAAAAAATTCAAATTGGATAATGTCACTCCCCTGCTTAGATTCTTTTGAAAGGTCTTCTTACTCTTAGGATAAAATCCACCCTCATTTCCATGGCTTACCAGGTCCATATGTCTACTCTCCGCCCAGTTCTCTGAACTTCTTTTCCTTCCCTACCCCACCTGCTCACCGTGTCCCACACACTGACCTTCTACTGTGCCCAAATACGCCAAACTCTTTCCCACCCAGAACCATCCATTCACTCAGAACATATTTATCAGGAACCTTCTGTGTGCCAGATACTGTTTTTGTTGCTGAAGATAGAGTGGGGAATAAAATGCACACAAATCCTTGCCCTTGGGAAGCTTATATTATGTTGAAGGAAGACAGACTGTAAACAAGAGAAGTAAACAGATACAGTACGTTGGATGGAAATCAGTATGAAGGGAGACCAAAAAAGCAGAGAGAGGGGAGTAGAGATATTGGGGAGTGGATTTGCAGTTTCCAATATGGGAGCCAGAGATGGGCTCAAGAAGGCTAGGTTGGAGCCCCGAAGGGGGTGAGGGTATAAGCCATGCGGATATGGGGGGGAAGAGCATTCTTGGCAGAGGGCTTAGCAAGTGCAAAGGCCCTGAGGCTGGGGCATACCCACTATGTTCACGGAACAGCAGGGAGGCCAGAAGGGCTGGAAGGGAGTGAGAGGTGAGATTCTAGATGTAATCAGGCTCCCCTGAACACCAGACTTGCATAAGAACTTCAGCATCTGTGGAAATTTCCACCTGGAACATTCCACCCTGCCTCTTTACGCATCTGGCTCTTTCCTATCTTTCTGACCTCAGGGAGACGTTCCTTGATCACCCTCATGCTTCACGTTCACAACCCCCTCTTTTTTTCGTCATAAGCACTGACACATGCAATTGTTTGATCTATTTCCACGCGCTTCATCTGCTCGCTGTCACACAAGCTCCAGTGAGGGCGGGGCCCTGTCCCACGGTGTCCCCATCGCAAACCCGGGGCTTCGCACGCTCCCTGGCCCTCAGGAAGTGCTCAATAAATAACTTGGTGAATGAAAGAAAGAGGGAGACTCTGTAATTATCATTCCCAGCTTGGACCTTCTGAAGTATGAAGAAATATGTTTTGTAGTCAGAGGACCAGCCCTAGGAAATCTGTGGGCAAAAAGCTTTCAGGGAGAGAGAGACGGAGAAAAGTAAAATCAAAAACATGCCGCATGGAAACCCTTGGGAACAAGAATGGCCTGAACTTCCCCAAAACAGCATTAGAAGCTAGAAGGCAAAAAAAAAAAAAAAAGAAAAGAAAAGAAAAAAGAAAAAGAAAGAAGCTAGAAGGCAGAGGAGCTCGGCCTTCAAAAGGTTGCACGAAAAATACCATTAACACGGAACTCTGCATCTAGCCAACCCCTCGATTAGGTGTGAGGGGGAATCAACATAATTTCAGATTTGCAAACTTTTTTTTTTTAAGATTCTATTTATTTATTTGACAGAGAGCACAAGCAGGGGGAACTGCAGGCAGAGGGAGAGGGAGAAGCAGACTCCGCGCTGAGCGGGGCACCCTGGGACCCCGGGATCATGACCTGAGCCCAGGACCTGAGCCGAGGCAGGTGCTTAACTGACTGGCCCACCCAGGCGCCCCTCAGACATGCAAACTTTCAAAGCATTTTACCTCGTGTGCACTTTCTCTCAGAAAGTGATTGATGATGTGCTCCACCCAGATGAGAGGAAAACAAAAAGCCCAGTATCCAGGAGACAGTGGCTCCAACCCAGGGGAAAGGCCAGGAAAGCTCCCAGGCTGATGGCATGAGGATGACTCAGTAAGGCACCTGTGCAGGGGCTCATTCCAGACGGGAATGGGGGGCAGAGGGCCCCAGGATGGAGCTCTCCTGGAAAATAGGGAATTTCACGCATTATCTGCTCCAGGCCACCAGGACTGCCCGCAACATTTGCAGGGCCCAGTGTAAAATGAAAACGAAGAGGCTTCTTGCTTAAAACTTAAGAATTTCAAGATGTTGAAACAAAGCAAGTGGGTAGGCTCTTCGGAGAACAGGGACAGTGCCTCCTGCAGGGATCAGACACCCAGGAAATTGGCCCTGCGTGTGACCCCGTGGAAGACTGTCTCGATAGCTCTTCTAGGAGAAACCGACTCTAGTTGACTTAAGGAAAAAGGGAATTTATTAAAAGAGGATTGGGGACATCTGGGTGGCTCTGTGGTTGAGCGTCTGCCTTTGGCCCAGGGTGTGATCCTGGGGTCCTCCCCCATCGGGCTCCCTGCAGGGAGCCTGCTTCTCCCTCTGCCTGTGTTTCTGCCTTTCTCTCTGTGTGTCTCATGAATAAATAAATAAAATCTTAAAAAAAAAAAGTATTAGGTGACTCATAAAATCCCACAAGGGCTGGAGAACACCCATCATGGCCTCCCAACTAGAAACAACTCCTCACACCAGGCTGTCAGCTGGTATAGCGAGGATGACACTGATGCTGTCCCCAAGTAGTGGGCCTACAGCTTGCAGAGATGCCACTGACAGGTCCCTGGCACAGTTGATTGCTGCTGTCTTGCATTGCTGCCCCACTGTAACTTCTGCAAAAAAAAAAAAAAAAGTCCTCGCATTTTCTGCTTCTGCACCCAGTAGTTACCTATTGAGATGTGTGCGTCTGATGGGTGATGTCCAAGTTAAGTGCTGTAGCTGCAAGAGGCTGAGACAGTGAGCTTCTAGAATCTCCCACTCCTCTGGTGGACGTTCTGCTTCCCACAAGTCTCCTAAGGGGAAATTCCCCAAATACAGGAAGGGTTTAACATCTGGGCAACAAGGAAGAATGACAAATATCCACTGTAGAAGTATGGAAAAAATTGTTGACCCGGAAATTTAAAAAAAAATCAACTAAGCAAATAAAAATAAAATGAGATAAATATAGACACAGATACAAATAAAACTTAAACTTGCTCAAGAAAGGAAACGTGGGGGTACCTGAGCAGCTCAGTCGGTTGAGCACCTGACTCTTGATTTTGGCTCAGGTCATGATCTCAGGGTCCTGGGATCGAGCCCTGCATTGGGTTCTGCACTTAGTGGGGAGTCTGCTGGAGATTCTCCGTCCCTCTCCCTCTACCCCCTGCACTCGGACGCTCTCTCTCACACTCTCTGAAATAAATAAATAAATCTTAAAAAGGGGGGGGGCACAGAATCCATTATACTATCTGGCTCATCAGTGTTCTATATTTGCTTATCCTGCATAATGTATAAACTAAATGTAGATTTAACCCCAAAGGTCATATTTATCGCATTGCAAAGTTGGAAAGGGAACAGTCAGGGTCGTTGATGATTTAAGAACACTAAAGGTGATCTGCTGAAATAGGAAGTTCATAGATAATACCTAAAGTTGATAAATACAAAGTTAGAAGTAAAATCATATTTAGAAATGTGGACATAGGGGTGCCTGGGTGGCTCAGTCGGTTAAGCTTCTGCCTTCAGTTCAGGTCATAATCCCAGAGTCCCAGGATTGAGCCCCAGATTGGGCTCCCTGCTCAGCGGGGTGTCTGCTTCTCCCTCTGCTCCTTCCCCCACTCGTGCTCTCTCTCTCGCTCACTCTCTCAAATAAATAAATAAATCTTTACGAAAGAAAGAAAGAAAGAAAGAAAGAAAGAAAGAAAGAAAGAAAGAAAGAAAGGTGAACATAAATGCTCCAAGAAACATTGCAAGTAGTCATCTGGGGAGCAAAACAGAGACCGAGGAGAGGTGAGGTAGGGAAGCTGCTACTTTTGTTGTAGTTTGTTTTGTTATAACCCTTTTGGTGATTATTTTGGTCCAGTTACATTATGCTATGTTGCAATAATAAATCCCAAAGACCTCCGTGACTTAGCATGATAACAGGTGGGTTTTTTTTTCCCCCCTCATTCTTCCAGAATCCGGTGTGGGTGGGAGAGCCCTCTTCAGTTTTGTAGCCCCATCATCTGGAACAGGGTCATTGCAAAAAGAAGAAAAAGCCGGAGGGGCTTTTTGAGGGTCCACGCCTGGAAATGGCTCACATTGCTTCATCCTACCCCCCAGAACTCAGATACCTGGGCCCAACAGAACTGCAGGAGAACAGGGGACATGCGGTGGTCCCGGGAAGACGCACAGCATTGTCTGCTGCAAGACCATTCACTTTTTAAAAATTAATAGACTTGATTACTGAGAGCAGTTTTAGGTTAACAGGAAAATCAAGCAGAAGTACAGAGAGTTTTTCCATACAGCCCTTCTCCCCTCACCTCATGCACGATTGCCTCAATTTTTTTAAATATGGAACGCTTCCTGATTTTGCGCATCATCCTTGTGCAGATGGCAGGCCGATCTTCTCTGTTCCAATCTTGGTGTCTATGCTGCCGAAGCGAGCACAATTTCCTCAATTTTTAATATCTTGCAGGGGCGTAGAACATTCGTCCTGCCTGATGACGCATTCCTGATACATCACTAGCAACGAAGTTCATAGTGTACAGTGGGGGCCCTTCATTGAGGTCTACGGTTTATGGGTTTCATCAAATGCGTAATGTCACGAATCCACTCTTATGGTATCGTGTAGAATCGTTTCACTGTCTAAACCACCTCCCGGGCTGCCCTTCTTCCTTTGTCCCCACCCCCGATCCCCACCAGCCCTCATGTTCCCTGAACCCCTGGCCACCACCCATCTTTTTCCTGCCTCCATAGTTTTGCCTTTTCTGGAATGTCATATTGTGGAATCCTACAGTGTGAGCGAAGCCTTTTCAGACTGGCTTCTCTCACTTAGCAATCCGCATTGAAACTTCCTCTCTGGGTTTTCGTGGCCCCATAGCTCATTTCCTTCTGAGCCCTGAATAATACCTTCCATTGTTTGGATGTACCGCTGTTTGCTTATAGCCATTCACCTACTGAAGGACATCTTGGTTGCTTCTGATATTTTTTGGCAACTGTGAATAAAGCTGCTATAAACATTCATGGGCAGGGTTTTGTGGGGACATATGTTTTCAGCTCACTTGGGTAAATACAAATGCAACTGTAGCAATGTCATTGCTGAATCTTACAGTAAGATGATGTTTAATTTTGCAGGACCCGCTTCCAAAGTGACTGTACATCTTGAATTCCCCCAGGAGTGAAAGGGACTTTCCTGCTGCCCCATTTCCTCACCAGCATCTGGCATTGTCAGTGTTTTGGATTTTATTTGTTTGTTTATTTATTTATTTATTTATTTATTTATTTATTTTTAGTGTTTTGGATTTTAGGTGTGTAGTGGCATCTCATTGTGGTTTTAATTTTTCTTTCTTTCTTTCTTTCTTTCTTTCTTTTCTTTCTTTCTTCTTTCTTTCTTTCTTTCTTTCTTTCTTTCTTTCTTTCTTTCTTTCTTTCTTTCTTCTCTTTCTTCTTTCTTCTCTTTCTTTCTTGGCTCCATTCTGGAGCTTGAACTCAGAACCGTAAGATCAAGACCTGAGATGAGATTACAAGTTGAATACTTAACCGACTGAGCCACCCAGGCGCCCCCATTGTGATTTTTTTTTAATTTTATGTATTTATTCATGAGAGACACACACAGAGAGGCAGAGACACAGGCAGGGGGAGAAACAGGCTCCATGCAGGGAGTCTGATGCAAGACTCGATCCCGGGACCCCAGGATCACGCCCTGAGCCAAAGGCAGACGCTCAACCACAGAACCCCCCGGGGTGCCACCTCATTGTGACTTTTAACTAGAAATTCCCTAATGACATGTGATATTTAGATCCTTTCATATTCTTACTTGCCATGTGTGCATCTTCTCTGGTGAAATGTTGGTGCAGAGCTTTCCCCCATTTCTTTGTTGTGTTGCTTGTTTTCTGGATTGTTGAGTTTAAAGACTTTGTGTGTGTTGGATACAAGTCCTTTATCAGATACGTGTTTTGCAAATATTTTCTCCCAGCCTGTGGGTTGTCTTCTCACGCTATGAACTGTCTTTCACAGAGGAGGTTTTTGTTTAAATGAAGATCATCTTATCAATTTTTTCTTTCATGGTTTGTGCTTTCGGTGTTGTGTCTAAAAACTACTGGTCAATCCCAAGGTCACGTAGATTTTCTGCTATGTTGTCTTCCAGAAGTATTTCAGTTTTATGTTTTCCATTGAGCTTTATGGGCCATCTTGAGTTTCATTTTTGTAACAAATGTAAGGTCAGTATCTAGAATCCTTTTTATTGCAGGTGGATGTCCAGTTGTTCTAACATCGTTTGTCAAAAAACACTATCCTTTCTCCACTGAATTACCTTTGTAAAAAAGTCAATTGACTCTATTTGTGTGGGTCGAATTCTGAGCTCTCTATTCTGTTCCACTGATTTCTCTATTCTTCCATTAATACCACACTCTCTTGATTACCATATATTTATTTATTTTTAATTTGTTTAAGGAGGGATGCCTAGGGGGTTCAGTCATTGGTTGAGCCTCTGCCTTCCGCTCAGGTCGTGATCCCACAGCCCAGGGATCCAGTCCTGCATCGGGCTCCCTGCAGGGAGCCTGCTTCTACCTCTGCCTGTGTCTCTGCCTCTCTCTCTGGGTCTCTCATGAATAAATAAATAAAATATTAAAATAATAAAAAATTAAAAAATAAACTTCATTTGTTGATATCCACAAAATAACTTGCTTGCATTTTGACTGAATTGAATCTACAGATCCAGTGGGGAATAACTGATAACAATATGAAGTTTTCTCATCCATGAACAAACAATATCTATTTCTTTAGTTGTTCCTTGATTTCTCTCATCAGAGTTTTGTAGTTTTCCTCATCTAGATCTTGTATATATGTTGTTCGATTTTATACCTAAATATGTAATTTTGGAGGGTGCTAATGTAAACAGTATTATTATTATTTTTTTTTTTAGAAAAAAATCAAAGCTTCCTTTAACCACCACAAACCCAGCCCAGAGTTAAAGGTGGGAATAGTTAAGGATCAAAGAGATGGAAATGCAGAGAGGTGAGCAGAGTCTTTTGCTTTGTTTTGTTTGTTGCTTTTTAAATTTTTTAAAACTTATTTTTTTTAATTTTTTTTTATTTATTTATGATAGTCACAGAGAGAGAGAGGCAGAGACACAGGCAGAGGGAGAAGCAGGCTCCATGCACCGGAAGCCCGATGTGGGATTCGATCCCGGGTCTCCAGGATCGCGCCCTGGGCCAAAGGCAGGCGCCAAACTGCTGCGCCACCCAGGGATCCCAATTTTTTAAAATTTAAATTCAGTTAATTAACATATAGTTTCCTAGTAATTTTTGAGGTAGGTAGTTTTTGAGGTCAATGATTCATTGGTTTTATATAACACCCAGTGCTCATGACATCACGTGCCCTCCTTCACGCCCATCCCCCAGTCACCCCATTCCCCCACCCCCCTTCCCCTCCAGCAACCCTCAGTTTGCTTCCTATGATTAAGAGTTTCTTAGGGTTTGTCTCCCTCTCTGATTTTGTTTTCATTGTATCATCCTTTCTCCTATACTCCTCTGTTTTGTTTCTTAAATTCCACACATGAATGAGATCATATGATAAATGTCTTTCTTTGTTTGACTTACTTCCCTCAGCATAATACTCTCCAGTTTTCCATGTCATGGCAAATGGCAAGATTTCATTCCTTTTGATGGCTGAGTAGTATTCCATTATATATCTATATCTATATCTATATCTATATCACATCTTCTTTATCCATCATCTGGCAAAGGACATCTGGCTCTTTCCATGGTTTGGCTATTGTCGACATTGCTGCTATAAACACTGGGGTGCAGGTGCCCCTTCATATCACTACATTTGTATCTTTGGGGTAAACACCCAGTAGTGCAATTGGTGCATCCTACGGTGGCTCTATTTTCAACTTTTTGAAAAACCTCCACACTCTTCCAGAGTGGCTGCACCAGCGTGCATTCCCAACAGTGTAAGAGGGTTCCCCTTTCTAACCATATTACTTTTAATTTCAAATTCCAATTGTTCATTGCTAGTATATAGGAAGGTGATTGGTGTTTATGTATTAACTTGTATCCTATAACCTTGCTGTAATTGCTTTTTAGTTCCACAGGTTTTTGTTGATGGCTTGGGATTTTCTATAAACACGATCATGCCACCTGGGAACAAAGTGAGTTTTATCTCTTCCTCCCCAATCTGCATATCTTATACACCATTTGCTTTTTATTCCATGAGTGTATTACTTTGCTAAAAATGTTTATTTTTTAAGATTTTATTTTTAAGTAATCTCCACACCCAATGTGGGACTCGAACGCATGACCCTGAGATCAAGAGTCACATGCTCTACTAAGCCAGCACCCCTAAAAATATTTTTTAAAGATTTTATTTATTCATTAGAGACACACACACACACACACACACAGAGGCAGAGATATAGGCAGAGGGAGAAGCAGGCTCCCTGAGGGACTTGATCCCTGAACTCCAGGATCACGCCCTGAGATGAAAGCAGAGCTTAACTGCTGAGCCATCCAGGAATCCCAAATATTTAATTTAAATAGTGAATGGATATCTTAGAAAGGTACTTGGAGTGCTGATGTGCTGAGGCACTGCCATTACACACAAAACTGTAAGTGCATTGGTCTCTATTCCCTTACTCTTCGAAAGCTAATGATGTGGGGCACCTGGTGGCTCAGTTCGTTCAGCATTTGCCTTTAGCTCAGGTCATGATCCTGGGGTCCTGGGATTGAGCCCCACATCGGGCTCATTGCTCAGTGGAGAGTGTGCTTCTCCCTCTCGCTCTGTCCCTCCCCCTGCTCATGCTCTCTCTCAAATAAATAAGTAAATAAATAATCCTTAGTAGCAGCAACAAAAAAAAAACCTAACAATCTTACTGAAAACAACGAATGTTGGCAAGGATGTGGAATTCTTGTGCACTGTTGCTGGGAATTTCAACTGGTGCAGCCAGTATGGAAAACAGAGTGCAGATTCCTCAAAACATTAAAAATAGAATTACTATATGACCCAGCAATTCCATTTCCTGGTCTATACCCAAAAGAACTGAAAGCAGGATCTCTAAGAGACGTTCGCACACCTATGTTTATTGTAACATTATTCACAGTTTGGGTTGTGGAAACAACTCAAATGTCTAAAGACAAATGAACAAATACAGAAAACGTGGTAATGCATACAATGGAATATTATTCAGCCTTCAAAAGGAAGGAAATCCGTTCAGTGCTACAACATGGATGAATCTTGAGGACGTGTTGCTCGGTGAAATAAACCAGTCACAGAAAAACAAATATTGTAGGATTCTACTTATATGAGGTACTCAGGGTAGTCAAACTCGTAAAAATAGAAAGTAGGATGGTGGTTGCTAGGGGCTGGGGGGAGGTGGAGGTGGGAAGTTTTTTAATGGGTATAGAGTTTAAATTTTTTTTAAAGGGGGTCCCTGGGTGACTCAGTCA